CAGCGCTGTCCAACTTATCATAGCCCGCGGGCCATATTTTCTTCACCAAACATTTCGGGGGCCAAGAAGGTTGCTGCTGTATTCAGCCAGGTTAAGTGAAGTTACGCAAACTAAATAGTACCTACTGTAAATTCAAATTAGATTTAAATTTTCACATAGTAAAATAATTTTAATATTAATAATAATAATTTAGTAACATAAATTTATTCATAGTAAAATGTACTCGCGGGCCGTAAAAATTATTTGGCGGGCCGTATACGGCCCGCGGGCCGCCAGTTGGACAGCCCTGTCATACAGTAATGTTCTTTATAGTAAAATCACATTTACATACATAAAGAAATTTTATTATTATGCTTAATCCAAAATGATTCCAACTACAGATGGGAATATTCAAATGCAAGAATTGGAAACTATTCTGTTGCAAAAATTTCTAGACCAATTACTAAAGAATATAACAGCTAATGACTCGAAATATCACTTCTCTTGTGTTGTTGAATTGTTTTCTTTGTTAAGCAATAATAATCTTGTGTTCCTCTACTTACAGTCTGACCAGAGGCTATAAATCGATTGAGTTATCCAATATACAATGTATCATTGAGTTCAATGTACAGTACAGTACATGAATCTAATGTACTGTACAATAGAGTATTTATGTTGAAAATAAATAAACTTTCAATGAAATTCTAAATATTTTATTAGAATTGATATAGATACATAGATAACTTACAGATAATGGAATGGCAAAAGAGACCATATGACTATCACATCCTGTATATAAAAACCACGTGACAACAGCCATTTATAAATTTTAATGTTGAAACTGATACAAAATTTGAGACAAAGAAACGAATTTTAGAGAAAAATATGGATGTATTATTGAATTATATTCAAGAACAAGTAAGAAAAATGAAATAAAACAAACTATAAACAGATAAACAAATGCAATAACAAGTTACGTGACCAGGGCCACTTAAACTTCCATGTGATGATCTTTTTAAAACATGAGATAAAAACAATGAATTTTATTGAAAAATATAGATGTATTATTTACTTTTATTCAAGAATATGTAATGAAAGTGTTATAACAGATAATAACTAAAATAAAACCTATTTCCTTATTGTTTATGTTCATTTTTTAAATGTCAATAGGAGGAAAGCCATTGGCAGTTGACCAAATATAGTAATAATCGGTCAATAGAGGAAAAAATAACACATCTAATCAGAAATACTGTAGGAAACATGTTTTTATCATTTTTTATGATAGAAAAAACTGCTATAGGAGTTCTAAAACATGATTGACATTCTGCATTGGGTATTTGAAAAATAAAATTTGCTGTATGTCAAAAACTTTATATCTATATATATATATATATATATAAAAATGGACATGTATGTCCCTATATTTCACTTTTCCACCAAAACTACACATTGCATGTGAATGGTGTTTGTATGTGGTAGTAGCCCCAAGTCTCCATTCGTGCACTATGGGGGTTGCGTCTCGATAGCTATAAGGGTGTGGGAGATATGGGGCTGAGTGGTTTTCTATTTCGAATGTTATTTTCGAATTTGTTCAAATTTAATTCCAACAATGTTCGAATTTGTTTGAATTAAATTCTAACATAAAATTCAAATATTAGTTCAGTTATAGAACGATTGTAAATGTTCCAGAAACGTTGAAAATAGTTCGTTTGACTGGACGTAAACTGGAGACGTTCAGAAATAGAATCGGGACCACGTCTCTAATTAGTCTGGAAACGGGGGACCTAATTCTTGCATTCTGTGAAAACAGGTAAGATTGGCTATAATGTAATTATCTTAATCTTCACTATCGTTACTTTTTGCCCACAAATAAAAACCCAGTGAAGCGGGTCCTTGCAGCTAGTTTATGAATAAAATGTTGATAGACTATTAGAAAACAAGGCAGAGCATTGAGGAAACATAAAACCAATCAAGACTGATACAGATTATTCTAACCGGATCCATTTAAAGTTGTGATAGTCACATTGGTTATTAGCATTCCATCCACCAGCTCACCCTGGCATTATGACTGACTTATGGTATAGAAAGGGTCAAAAAAATCAATCAATGCACAAAAAACTTTTTGAGGGGATATTTCATAAAGATTACTCCTAACAAGTGTTTCCTTTTGGTTTTTTGCTTATAGAGCCATGTTAATATATGTTAATAATGTGAAAAATGCTAATATAGTGTAGAAGATAAATCTTGCTCTTCAAAGCTTATTTCAACATTGACATCTAATGTAAAGTGGAAAAGTGTTGTAAATTTTGTTATTGTTTTATAAGTTATAAAGAAAGATATTTGATATTAAATATGTGAATATATACATTTCAAACTAATAATGCAATTTGTCAGTGAAATTAGACTATAATTTGAATGAATGACTAAATGAATTATATATTACTTTTAGTACTTTTTATATACCAAAATTAGTGAGTGATCAATTAAAAAAGTTCACTTACTCTTTTAATAGCAGCTTTTGGAAATGCAGACCTTCTGTACATTTCATATCTATTTAATTGTTCTTCAGAGAAATTAGATACTAAAACTCTAATGACAGAAATGAAATGAAATTAGAGTTGAAAATCAATTAAAGTAAAACTTCAAGGATCTACATAAATACGTACTGCATTTTTTCTCTTTCTTCTTCCTCTAATTGTTCTTTAGTTTTTCCTTGAGAAGGATTTGGATCAGAAGTCTGAATATTTTCATCTGATTCTTGCTGTTCACTGGATTTTAGTGTATCATCTGTTTTGGAATCATCCTTTTCACTTTTTGATGTTTCCTCAGAATTCAAATCCTTCTTCTCCTCACATTTATTATCTGCTTCCTCTTTATCACTTTCACCCATCTTTTCCGCTTCAATTTCGCCATCTTCTTCGCAATCCATCATGAAATTCTCAATTAAACACTTCCTGTTTACAACTCTATTCTGTAACAACTAAAATTGAATTATGTACCAACTGCGCCACCTACTGAAAATAATATATCAAATTATTAACGAAACAAAATTATTTAATTAATTTTTTTATTATGTATTTAATATTTTATTAAAATAATTATAATGATTATTTTTATTTATTTGTTAAATTGTTAGTATCGTATACTTTTTTACTCTACTTTTCTACGTCTTGTGGATAGACGGCTGGATGGCCGAACGGTGTAAGTGGCAGCCTACCGCTCTGGAGAACACAGAATCGAACCCTGCTGGTCCTTTTGGATATATCGGGCCCGTTCCTCACCATCCGGCCTACCTCCAGAACCCATAATGGACTTGCTAAAAGAGGCCCTCTAATAGCCCACAGGTAGAAAGAGTTAATATAAAAAAAGGTATCCAGTGGCGTGGCGTGACATTTGATGATAGGGAAGCTGTGTTTCTATAAGAAACCGACTTCCAGGGGCAATCAGTTAATTCTTTCTTTAAATGTATTTTTAATAGATTATTTATCTGACGTACTTAATAAACAAGTTCATTATAATTACCTCTGTTATTAGATCCAATATATTCCATATGCCCTCTAAATGCCAATTCTTGCTTTGATAAAAACATATAACATCTATTTATTTAGATATAATATATCTATTACCCATAATTATCTCGTTACAATTTTCAATATTTATTTTATATTATTTACTAATGTTAAATTCTATTCCGCTTCGATTTCCAAATTGCTTCAAATACGAAAGAATCGACGATTTTTCGTGTCTTTTGCCAGCTAAATTGTCAAAGACATTCTTATTCCACACACTAATTTCACTCTGTAAATGCATTTTTATGCATTTACAGAGCCATTTTATCGTGAAAATATCGAACAAATTTTTTTATTGAAGCGTTTATATTTAACTTAGGCATTGGCCGTTCTCTTTTAATAATGTTTTCTTTTTCATTATATGATCTCGAGCCAAAACTTTTTTAAAATAAATTTTCAATATCGCAATTACATTCCGAATCGCTAGCCACGATATAAGGGCTAAAATTAAAAATAAAATTATAAAAACTTACTTGGTGAAATAAAATGTGTGGTGGATATACATACCTGGTACAAAACATTCTTCAATTGTATGAATATACTTTTAAAGAAAATTATAATTAAATATAGCTTTGTAACGAAACGTACATAAAAATAACATAAAATATTATTTACTCATTAAATCTTAACCACTTACTTGTTAGTCAAATAGCTCCCTACGAGTGGAATCAGAGACGGTCCTGCTAGGTGTGCGGTGTGTACTGTACATGCATGCGGGCTGCCAAATCCCGAGGGTGCCGATACCGGTCAATTTCAAATGCCTCTTTTGCCGCATCACTAATACACCTCAAAAGACGCGACAGGGTTCTTGTAAATTTTAAGTTTCTCACCATAGCTGTAAAAGTCTAAATATGTTAAACTTAATAGATTGTCCGTCGTTTGTTTTCTAACTAATTCGTTTTAGGACCAAGTGTCTTCAGAAATTTCCAAAATTTACAACTTTTCGGTTACTCTCGTTGAACTGGAAAAATGTCTGTCTTTATTACATCTAATATTTCGAAGAAATCAGTCTCACTGTACTCGGCTAGAGATTGGTTCGGTTAGGCTTTTGTTTAAGTAAAATTTTTGCTCTTTCATCAGGGTTTTGTTTATGCCACCAATTCCCTAATCTCTTAATTATTTAACTACTTCTTAAGTAGAAATAAATCGAAACCAGTTACTTTGTACTCGAATATTTGTAGTCTCGGGAAAAAGTGGAAAGACAAATTTTTATGACAAACGGATACATAAATCGTAAATTTAAGGAAAATAAATTCTAGAGCTTTTTCTGTATCTCGTGCATCTCTCTCATTCATTAAATTTAGTTGTAAATTATGCTACCAAAGTAACAATTAATTTTTTAACATTATACAAGAATTGTACACGTTTTTTTCTACATCCCCTTAAAGATGGGATGTACGAAATCGTAATGTCACTGGTTTAACATTGAAATCCGTGAGTAATATAAAATCGGAGAGCGGAATAAATCTATCAATCAGCGGAATAAATATATCAAATATTTTAATGGATTTTTTAAAACTGTCAACTATACAGAAAACTACAGTATCATAAAAACATACAGGTAAATTCTTATCGGTTGGGTTAAGTTATAAATCTACTCGTGATTCACGTAATCGGGCGAGGGCGGCCAAATACCAAGCAGGCGGGCGGCTAACAGCCCGGAACCGGTCCCGGATAGAATTGGATGCGTTATACGTGTAGCATCCATCCGAGGTCCTAGGCTTCCACCGGCTAAACCGGGTGAGGTTGGTGCTCTGTAAAGCGCATGCGCGAATCTAATTTTTTGAATGCTGACAATACAGCGTTTCCACTCCGCTACTCCGCCACTAATATTCGAATATACAATAGCAATCTTATCTTTTTTTTTTCACGTGTAGTGTAGAAATTTGTAATAAGATACATAATGCGGTTATAATAAAATATTGTGCGATTATTTTCATATAATTAAAATTAATATGTATTTATTTTTTAGAAAATACAAGGGAAGCGGCGCATCCACCGCTTCTAATGAGGCACGCCACTGACGGTATCCCAGAGCGGTAGGCTGCCATCTTAAAAAAACTCTTCCGACAGTCATCATTATATACTTAATATTTTTAACTCTCTCCGTCCTGTGGATACAAAGAGGTCCTAGGTCATCTTTCAGCAAGCCCATTCATTATGTGTTCGGCCAGACTCACAATGGGGTGATCGGACAGTGACGGACGGAAAGCGACATACCCGGATAAGCCACTTCGAAAAATTTCTTGGATTTTTTGACCCGTACAGATTTGATCCCGGTTTTCCGGACCGGTAGGATGCCATCTTAAACGCTGGCCATCCGCCCGTGGTATATTATTGTTATTAAGTGACAGGCAGTTACTTTGATTTGATATTGGTTTGCTTACTAGTAAGAAAACCAATAGCCCGAAATGCATATCCGTCGTAAATTATGGAAAACGAATCTACTTTTTCCATCAAATGGAGTGTTTCTGTATGATTTGTTCTCAATAGCATCTTTGTGCTAAGTTCCAAAGAACATACAACTAACTGTGAGAACAGCAAGCAATCAAGTACTAATCTATATTTTATACAACTCTATTCTGTAACAGCTAAAATTGAATTATGTACCAACTGCGCCACCTACTGAAAATAATATATCAAATTATTAACGAAACAAAATTATTTAATTAATTTTTTTATTATGTATTTAATATTTTATTAAAATAATTATAATGATTATTTTTATTTATTTGTTAAATTGTTAGTATCGTATACTTTTTTACTCTACTTTTCTACGTCTTGTGGATAGACGGCTGGATGGCCGAACGGTGTAAGTGGCAGCCTACCGCTCTGGAGAACACAGAATCGAACCCTGCTGGTCCTTTTGGATATATCGGGCCCGTTCCTCACCATCCGGCCTACCTCCAGAACCCATAATGGACTTGCTAAAAGAGGCCCTCTAATAGCCCACAGGTAGAAAGAGTTAATATAAAAAAAGGTATCCAGTGGCGTGGCGTGACATTTGATGATAGGGAAGCTGTGTTTCTATAAGAAACCGACTTCCAGGGGCAATCAGTTAATTCTTTCTTTANATATTTAAAAACTTTCGATAAGATCGATAATATAATTTTCATTAAATTTTGTTAATAAATAATTTCGAAGACTGTGTAATATAAAACAAATATGCCTGTAAGTATTTCAAACTATATAGAAATGTAAACAGACTGTTTTGTATTCGAAATTGATATGTTTCTGTATTTAGATATATAAAAAGCACAGAATAAAACATGATTTTGAAATAGTCTTTACTTAAATGGTTCTAAAATTCTATTTTCTTATGCTGTAATTTGATCAAAATTATAAACAATTATTTTTAAGTTCAAAACATTTTTTTTATGTTAGCCTCATAAGGGAAAACAAGGTACTAAAGGACAAAAACAGATTGTAGAAGAGAATAAAGAGACACTAAAATTCTACAGTATAATGGCAGGAGTAGCTGAAGTAAGTCATATATAATTTTATTGAATTGAAAAAGATGCTTTATCAAATTCAGTAATTAATTGTATTTTTATGTTTGTTTTCTTAATACTTGATATATTTAATAGGGTTTTTTAACCTGGAAAATCAAGATGTTTCTTTTCTTGAGTCTTGGGAAAACAGCTTGAGACTTATAAGAAAACTAAATTTACAAATCTGAAACAGAAATGTTAAATTTATTATAATTTTTAATGAAATAAGTATTGTAATCCTAGAATTTGATATAATGCTATTCATTATTTTATATATTGATTTGTGTTTTAAATATAATTCAGACATATCCCATAGAACATGTTGTTTAACATTTTTCCAATAGAGTATCATTGATTTTAATACCTAAATGTCATAGAACATATATATCTCTCAATTTACTGTTTTTTAATCAATGTTATCATAAGGAAAATTTATTTTTACATCAAAAAAACAGTTTCAACAAAATGATGTGTAGAAAAAGTTTTGAGTTACATTCTAAAATACCATTGGCAGAATGTCAGAATCATATGTAGATGTTTTGAAAAATATGCTGAATGTCAGCATACAAGATTTGTATCTATAGGTCAGATGTTGATACTGGAACAGGCATTACAGTGTCACCAATATCCCCCTAAATCAGAAAGACTAAACACACTTTGTGACATCATTAACAGTAGTCAATCAATTCTACAATTTACAGAAGTATCAGGAAAATTTTTAAAAATATGTAGCAATTTATCCCTTATTTTTATTGTAAAGTTTTGACTATATTTACAAAAAAATCTCTCATTGCTGCATGTTATTTACCACAACATATTGCAAATGTGATGTTTATGTGTACAGAATAAACTATATGTTGCTGCACATAAAACAACTGTTTGTTAACAATCAGATTAACCATTTGGTTATCAGAAGTGTTATAAGAATTTTAAAAATGACTGTTTGATTATTACTTATATATATTTTTTCTTATTTACAAGTTTGTTCATTAAATATAGGTGTTTTATTATGTTTAATTACATTTTAGGAAATTTGTTGGGGTTTTGGATTATATTGTAATGCATTGTAATTTTTTCTATGTAAAATAGTAAGCTTTTGGTTGTTTTTGTGTGGAATGTCTGATTTTTAATTATGTTTTACTGATGTTAAGCAGAGAATGATAAAATTATATTTACAATGAATAAAAAATCATTTTACATTTTTCAGCATTTTAAACATGACCGTTTAATTTGATGACTCAGGATACCCACCATTCAGAGATACTTGGAACAATTCTTTGGTCTGCCCCTTTGCCAGTTAGGTTTATTATATAGTATCTGAGTTGTGTTATTGAATACAGTTCAGATTGAAATGCTGAAAACAATTCAATAATTGCATAACTGTAACTTTTTAATTTTTTTTCCTCTTTCCTCTAAACCTATGGTTCTCCATCTTTTTGAAGTCGGGGAACACTAAACTGTGACATTTTTTTTGCTGAACACTTAAAATACATCAGCTTTAATGTAGGGCTGGCAGACTTTTTTGAAATCAAGAGCACACTCAGTGTAGTATATGATGTCATTGGCATTTGCTGATTACATTCCCATACAAAAATTATTTTACATTGTATTAATTTTTCTTTTGCAACAATTTTTAATTGTATATTTGATTTTTTTCGTGGACCACTAGAAGTGGCTCTATACGGAATATCCATGTTTCACTGACCACGGATTGAGAACCACGGCTCTAAACCATTAGTTTCTTTTCTTAATCCTTATCAAATAATGGAAATAAAATTAAGAGATTTACTGCAGTTACAGAAAAACTTTCAATAGTTTTATATATTTCATAATAGTAGAGTTCTCGGTTTCATAATGGTTTCAAACATATTTTATAATAAATAATTGCAAACGTGCAAATATATCTGGTAGGAATACTAAGAGATTAGTTTTAATTTTTGTTAAAACTAAATATGATATTTTTTGGTCTGAATTATCCTTCTTCCTGTATTAATTAGAATTAAATGCTAAATTTTAATCAAAACAATTTATGAAAAATGATAAAAAGGATTGTTTTAATTTTCGATCTTTCTTATTTTTTGATATGGAGTAACTTTATTATTTCAAATTGAATGTATGAAAGCATTATAGCGAGATAATACTAGTGTAATGCATGTAATAAGAAATTATAATTTTATTACACATTAAACACTCCTACATTTGGTATTTTAAGATTTCGATTATAAGATATAACAATAAAAAATATGTGGGCCAATGTTAAATATTGTTTTACTTATGTAATCTTTACAAAATTTTTAAATAAGACTAAATATTGATTACAATCATATTCTAAATATGATTTGTAGAATTTATGTAATTACAATTAAATATGGTTATTGTTTGGAAAAGTAGAATTAAATCTCAGTACTTAATAAACTGATATTAAATTTTTTATATGATATGATTTTATATAAATCATTTTGGGTAAAATGAATAACTTTTTAAAAAATTATTTACTTTCTGCTTTTTTAAAATTTAAATTGAATTTTACTAATGATAAATTATATATTTTCAATTTTAGATATTATACATTGCTGTTATGATTTTATTATTTTGGGATTCATTTACAATATTGTATTGGGTAAGTTTGTATATAATATTATTACATATTTCATCTATACATTATTAGTTAAATAATTTAAAATAAATGATTATTTAGTTTAAATTGAAAATTAATATTTTACAATATATTTTTTCAGTTTTTAACTCTGTTCACCATAGGAGTATTTTTTGGAAGTTTACAGTTTATGACATATATGGCAAGGCCTGTTTATTCTGATACAGGTTCCATAATAGATGGTGGAATTGATTTAAACATGGAAGGAGGAATTTCAGAGTTAGTCAAATCTTTTATTAATTTGTATTCTAAAATTTTTTCACAAAAACTTCAAATACAAATGGTAAAAATCTAGATGGTTAAACTAGAATGATGTAGTAAATTACAAACATTTGTAAATCACAATAATTCATTTCCATTATGAATGTTTTACAATTTAAAAAAAAAATTTAATAATAAATTAATGAGGAACAAAGAGTAAAACTAAAGAGATTCATTTATCTATTCAAAACAAAGAATATTTGAATGCTTTTAATGTTATTGTGCTTTACACAAAACAGAAACAAAATAAGATATATTTTATTTAAAAAAATACACATTTAAACCACTGACAGGAACATAAAAAACGGCTGCTGTTTAGAGTTGGTCATCATTGAGAAGTGGCTGTTACTGAAAGTTTGACTTGTATATAAAATGACCCAGACCACTTGTACACTCTCTTTAAAATGAAAGGAAGTAAGTTTCATCAAAAATCTTAAAAATTTCAATAATAAATTAGGTATGCTGTATAAAATGGTGATATTTTTAAGTTCTGGTATTGGCAGGAAATTGACTATCCAGGCTGAAAATCAAATTTTTTAAATTGAACATGATATCTTTTAAATTTAGATTCAGATTAAATGCAAAATGATAAAATAATTTTGTCTCAAACATTTTTTTCTGAAGATGCCTCAAATGTAAACATTATGCTTGTGTTTGCACTTTAATTTCAGGTAAATTTTCATTTTCAGTTACACACCTATCAAAGGTGATCTATGTAGCCAGGTCCTATGTTCTTTGAGGAACAAATTCTTTTTCAAGCAGAGTAGATGCATGCATTGGTGAAAACAATTCTACTTTAACATTTTGATTGAATAACAGTTAAAGTCAGTGACAAGTAGATTATGCCAGAAGAATTTACACAAACAAAAATACTATACCAGTAGTAACAATTTTCATTACTTCAGAATCAGTTACATATGATTATTGTGCCAACATGTTCATTATGTTTTATTTTTCATTGATGGTATGTTAATAAAATAATTTTGTAATGTAAGATATTTTCTTATTTTCATAGTAACATTTTTTTCCATGCATCACACTTTTAAGATAATTATATGGTCAGTGGAGCATTTTCAGAGAATTTTCTGAGGCAAAATTATCTTATTTTCTAAGTTTAATCCAAAACTAAATTAAACAATATCATGTTTCATTTAAATAACTTGACTTCTTACCTGGGTAACCCATTTCTGCCCAGTTCCAGAAGTTGAAAATATCACTACTTGATACAATGTACAGTACCTGATTGATTTACTTATGAAAATTTTTAGGATTTTTGATGAAACTCACTTTACTTTACATAGAAGCCCAGGATTATTTTGACTTATTTCAAAATTAAAAATTATGACTATACAAACTAAGTTTCAGTCTTTCTGTCTTTATTTATCTTTTTCATTCCAGTCCAGGAACCAAAAAACAGCCGGTGAATTGAAGAAAAAATCATCTAAAAATAACAGATAAATACAATCAAAAAAACCTCATGCACAATTAAAAATGATCTTGACATCGACCCTTTCTTGTAGGCTATGACGTCTACAAACATTAAAAATCGGTAAAATTCTTTCCGACAGCATTCATGTTATATAATCGCATAAGCTGAGAGTCCTCTGGTGGATTTTCGGGCATTAGTTTGTATAGTCATAATTTTTAATTTTGAAATAAGTTACTTTACTTTATTTTAAAAGGGGTATATGGGTGAAAAAATTCTCCAGGGTACAGGATGAAGAAGAAATATAAGCAATTGAAAAGTGTAAAAATTGCCAAAAATGCTGTATTTTCTTTTCCTCCTTTTTCTTCATCTGCCACTGCAGATGCTTGTAGAGAAAAAAATTACTGGGTTTAGAAAGCTCAAATTTTAAACTTAAGTGTTTCTCATTATTAGTGAGGTGCTTGCAAAACTTCTGGATTAATTAATAGGGCAAAGTTCATGAGGATTTCCCCATAGAGCTAATTCAATTATAGCATAATTTTATGCTTATAAGGATAAAATTGCATGGAAACAAATGAATTTTATTCAAAATGTAACTCAGAATTAAAAAAAAGCTCAAATTTATGCAGATTAAAACTTTTTATAACAAAATTTTCTAAATGGCATATTGAAATCAGTTGGTGGTGCATTTGGTCGGTGCTGACTGAAATGAATATTGAAAGCATTTAGTTGGCAGTGCATTTGGTCTGTGACATGTTCAGTCAGCAGTCGTTGAGTGCTGAGCAATCCTATGTCTTGATGTAATAATATAATTATTAAACAAAAACAACTGATATCCAAACAAAAACATCTGAGATGTAAAAATATTTCACCAAGTAAAAATTTATAACAATTAGATGATGATTAAAATTTTTTGTAGGCATTTTTCTTTGGTAAAGATAAGCTTGGTGCTTGCAAACATACCCACAAGATTTTTACCTATATTATTGTTTTCTGCATTTCACCTCCAGTTCCAAGCTTATCTTTACCAAAGAAAAACTCCTATGAAGAATTTTGACTGTCATCTAAATTGTCATAAATTTTTACTTGGTGAAACATCTCAGATGTTTTTGTTTGGATCCTAAGTATACATATATAAACATCTGAAAGCCTGATATTTTTATAACAAAACCAAATGATTACTAGATTTAAATCAGGTACTTTACCATGGTAAAGTAGCCTGATTTAAATCCAATAATCATTTGATTTTATTATTATCCTAAGTTTAGGTGATTGATTAATCATGTTTTGATTGTTATCTTAAATTTTTTAAAAATCTTAATTACTCATTGGTATAATTAAGATAATGATTATTAGGAATTAGGTTCCATAAAATAACAAAATAAGAGTTGACATTGAATTAATTAAAATATTGTTGAATCAATAATGAAAGAAAATGACTTCTATTAAATTTTATAAAAAGATGATTTAAAAGATAGTCAAAAGTTTTTTAAAAGTGCATACACTGATAAAACAAACTTGAACATTTGTAACTTCTTACACATTGGTTTTTTAAAATAATCTTGAAATTTTATACTGTGGGATTGGGAATAATTGGATTTTTAAGAGTTATATTATTTTACAAAATTTTTGTAATACTGTATTTATTTTGTTGTTATTGTTCAATTGATCTTTTCAAATATAAGCTAAAAATTGGAATATAATTTCATCAATTTTGAATGAGTTGCCAATATAATTTGAATCTAAAAGTATATACTGTATTTAAGTATATTTTGAGTGAAAATACATTTATATATGTGTTATCCTTTATTAAGTTTTATATCTCAAATGTTTAGTTAAAATTTAAACTTACTGAACAATAGAATAAGTATAGTTAAGAATGATATATTTACAATGAGCAATTATTTACTGTAACATTATCACAATGCTAGGCTGCAATATTTAATTGTATTTTAATTTATTTAATTTAAAATATATGCTCTCCATCTCAAATTAGTAGTATCTTGTCCCTGTATATCATACTTTTCCTGTTAGCAATAGTCATGCTGGTCATCTATGTAACTCAGGAGAAATTTTTGAATTAAAATAACATTACTTCTGGTGCAAATTGATAGTTTGTATATAGTTAATCAGGGCCTCCTAAAATTTTTATATTTGGTCTTGACTTTGTTCTAGTTAACTCCATTCTCAAGATTAAGGAAGGACAGACAGACATTTATCGGACCTCAGCGGTAATTTATACCACTAGTATCTGGCTAGAATCATAGCCAGATAGAAAGGATAGAAACGGGACCATCACTTGATCCCAGCATTGAACATGAAAGACCAAATTTGAATTTTTATGTAAAATGAAATTATATGATATAATGGAATAAAATTTATTTTGATGAGAAACGAAATTTATATTTTATTGATTTTATTTATATATTTTTCATGGCATTAATATATTTTTTCGAAAAGGATTGGGAGCCGCATATTTATGCAGTATTCTTAACTCTCTTAGTTCAAATGTTTAAAATAAATTATTTGAATTTCTGCTGTTTGAAAATCATTTTAGAACAATTGAACAATTGTTCTGACATCTTTAGCAAATAGTTCCAATATATAAATTTTCAAGTTTTTCATTAATTTAACACTGATATATTCTGCATATATATATATATATATATATATATATATAATAGATTTGTGAAGTTATTTTTAAAAACTGACCTATTCAAATCACATTAGTCAAACTTTACGGTTCAATAATTTCATTATAAGCTCTATATATCTATATTTTTTCTCTACTTTTTTCAGGTTTGATTACTTGAAGATATCCATAAATCTTTTTTTATTTCTCCTATCAATCCGATCTGATATTTTATATCTCGTCTTGATATAGTTTTGTTGAGGTCTCTAGATAGTGCTGGATTTCTATGATGATCCGTATATATCTACTCATAGATCTTACTTACAGAGAGTAAGATCCATGAATAGATATATACGGATCTCCAGTTCGATGCTTTTGATCATTAAACTCTGCATCAATACAAAAGGCTTTTCCAATTTGACTCATATCAGTATATATAAATCGCTTGCTTACTAAGTTATTTTGATCAATACAACATAATCAGGATCTAGATTTGTTATGAGTCTACATGTAAGAGATCCTTTTCATTCATTAAATAATAAACATTAATTTAAACGTCCTTAATTAAATTGCTAAACGCTTATTTTTAGCAATTTCAAACCTCATAGTTCTCAGATAGAATGAAACTCCAAGCTTATTTAGCTTGCATAAATTCAGTTCTAAACTTTATATTCTTAATTCCATCAAAAGAAGGCCCTCTCAGAAGTCGAGAGAGACTAGATCACGGAAGGTTTATAGGCCTTTATTAAGACCCAAAAAGCTCTATTTAACATCAAAACAGCATTAAAACTTGTACAGTATTATATTTTTAACTAACAAAATCTGATTTAAAAATATTTTTAAAATCAGATTTTATTAGGCATTGGGATGAATTAAGCCTCATAACAAATGTTTTGAGGC